GTACAGTACAATACCGTACAATACAGTACAGTACAGTACAATACAGTACAATACAGTACAATAAATACAGTACAATACAGTACAATACAGTAAAGTACAAAAAAACAAAGCTCCATATTCACGGCCACTAGATGGCGTTTTACCTAGTCTGTCCCTCGTTCCTTCTGTAGGATTTGTGGTAGTGTTCCTTGATGTTCTTGTTGATGTCATCGTCGGGGTTGTAGTCGCGCGCCTTGCCGTACTTCAGCGGTAACAGCAGTCCCACCTCTGCAACAGCGGCAGGAAACATAGACTGTCGCCCACGCGTGACGGTCACAGGGAACTCTCCCGAGAAAGCGTTGGTTATGAAAGGGGGTTGTCCATAATGGTGACCGTCTAAATTGTTAGCAAGAAGAATCGAGGAAAGAATCGACCTAGACTTACATCTACGTTGACATTCGCATATATATTAATATCGGACAGTCCATTCACACAGGAGCAGTGTCCGACCAGTTCTCCCAAAAACTCCAAGCGTTTAATTGTTGAAAAAATGTGAAATAAAACAATTTCTTCCAGTTCTCATCTTTCCCCGAAATTGAGGTCTCTCTATAGGTCACCGTAGTAGAAGTGCAATTAGTGCTATATACACAGATGTGGATCATGTATAATTCATGTTCATGGACACTTGGACCGTTTCAATAACAAAACTATTGCAAATAAACACAAATTGTATTTACTACCAAAGTCTTAATGTTTATGTGTTCTCTATCGACTAATAATTCCACGCAAATGCCGTTTAAACGTAAAACATTGCTTCTCTGTAACACGCAATCCCACCGCAGCACGCCGCACTCACAGAGCGATATAGAGATCTCTGAACTTGTACGGCATTTACGTGGATTTATTCGTTGATATAGTGAATACACAAACATTAGAACTTTGGTAATAAATACGATCTGTGTTTTTGACAATAATACTGTTACTGTAACGCTCCGAGTGCCTGTGAACATGGCGGGTGCATGGGGTGGCTTAATTTCAGTTACAACTGCTGCGGTGTCCGCCATATCTTACCCTTAATGGCGGCGCTGTCATTCTGTGAGCATTCGAATCCCATACATCCCCTCTTCTCCTCCATGTGAGGACACTGTTCTCCGCCATTGCTAGCCGCCTGTAGGATATCTCTGGAGCGGGTCATGATGCCGACACCACAGCGCGTACTGCAGGGTGACCAGGCGGTGAAGTTTCCGACCAGACAGTTCTTAGCTGCAATGTAAGCAGAACAATGGTTAATGCTTATAGGTTATTAGGTTTGAGGCTTATATGCTTATATGCTTATTAGGTTTGAGGCTATAGTTCGGGTTAGGGTCGCGGTATGGGTTAGCTTTAGGTTCAATGTTATGGTTAGGGCTAGGGTTAGGATTCGGAGTAGGGTTAGGGTTAGGGTTAGGGTAAGGGTTACGGTTACTGTTAGGGTTAGGGTTAGGGTTAGGGTTAGGATTGGGAGTAGAGTTAGGGTTAGGGTTAGGGTAAGGGTTAGGGTTATGGTTATGCTTAGGGTTAGAGTTAGTGCCAGGGTCATGGTTTTGATTAGGGTAAAGGAAGCAATTGAACTGTACTTGCCGCTGCTATAGAGCCATAAATACATTATTGCTAATCATAATCAGAGTCATAGCTCAGTATAAAAAGGCACGCACGCACACACGCACGCACACACACAGGCGCACGTACACGCACGCCCACAGGCGCTCGCAGGCGCACGCAGACGCACGCACACGGGTACACACGCCCGCCCGCTCGCAGGCTCGCCCGCCCGCACGCACACACGCACGCACGCACGCACGCACGACTGTGAAGCTGCAGTGAGCGTGTGTCCGTTTTTGCCGTTATACGTGGTGCGGCGGCGCAGGTGGCTTACATTAGCCTCTACTCGCTATAGCTACTACTGCTGCTGCTGCTGCTGCTGCTGCTGCTGAGATGCGAGCTTTTTGTGAGAGCGTCGTCTCAGCATGTCATCATCAGACGTTAATAACACTCGGCCATATAGTCATCGCGGCCGCCGAATCAGCCATCTACATGCAGCCATATATTCATATGCAGTGGATCTACCGGTGTAACCCACTGAACTATAACAATGTTGTTACAGTTCAGTGGTGTAACCCCTTCGCTCCTGCTACGGTGGTCTACACCGGTGGAGCTACTACTGCTGCTACTACTGCTGCTGCTGCTACTGCTGCTGCTACTGCTGCTACTGCTGCTGCTACTGCTGCTGCTACTGCTGCTGCTGCTGCTGCTGCTGCTGCTGCTGCTGCTATTGCTGCTGCTGCATCTGCAGTGGGTCTACCGGTGTAGCCCGTAGATTCCTGTAGTGGGAGCGAAGGAGCTACACCGGTTGAACTACATCTGCAGCTGCGGCTACACACACCGACTCTAGCTCTATGTACGTACAATACGCACGCACACGCACGCGCAGTCTCTGCATAGCAGACGAATCTTCTGACGAAAGCCGAAAAACGGCGGCGGTGTGCGCATTCGCAAGAGAGGAACCGTATCTATGACGTATTCGTGACGTATCTATGACGTAGTTTCTATAAGGCGTCTGCGGTTGCGCGGGAACGGGGCACGGAACACGGCGACAACGCGCGTGACTCTGTCGGTACATCTTTTTTTTCCCTTTTATGTCCGCAAAGCAGACGAAACTTACGTCACAGCCCGCGTCACGACTCTCTATACCGTGCTCCGGCGCGCGCATCTCTACCCTGCACCGGCGTGCGTCTGCTAAAACTTCAAAGCCGAAAATTGACAGCTCTTATTTTTAGTTACGCTGTTTTCGCTCGCTCCTAACAATGTTTTCTTCTCGCTTTCGCGCAGGAAAAATTAGCGATGCTCCGATACTGTCGTCTGCCAGCCCCCGGCCGCGGGTGGAACGACCCCTCGCGACCCCCGCCCGCCGTCACACCGGCTGTTTTCCTGAAGCGAAAGTACGAGAGTGATCGGCGGTCGGGTTTCGAAGTGCGATATCCGTGGATCGCTGCCGGACGAGAGTGCTATAGGGTTTCCTTTCCCCGCTTTCTTTTTCTTTTCTTTTTTCGTAGATCGATGGACGTGCTTTAGTTTGTGCTTGGTTAGTTAGAGAAGCTGGGGCGCGCGAGAGAGAGAGAGAGGTAATGTTACAATAGCACAGGCGATACTTCTAAAACATATCACTCGCCACAGTCAAAATAAACAGTCAGCGGTAGTCTGTGCGGCGCGTCTGCTGTAGTCTGCTGTCCGCCATCACTGCTATGGTCGCTAGATGGGGTGGATCCCCGTCTACTACAAAGCCAGCGACAGACGCAGACGTACCCGCGATCGACGCGCCACCGCTTTACAAAATGGCGGCCGAGCACTGCCGTCGATGTTAAGTGGCAGCGCTGTGGCATTTTTTTATGGCGCGCGAGAAACAATGGCAACGCGTCTGCGTTGGGTTTCTGACGTCACTGGATACGTAGATACGCGTAATAGGTTCGCGCGTAGCTGTCGTTTTAGTTCATACACGCATTTATTTTGAACTTGGTGGGAATCTTGTTGCATTTACGATGGGGGACGGAAATGACGACGGAAGCGCCACGGTGCGGCAGAATTCGCGCTGTCACTCTTAACAACTCGGTCACTCGCTCGTTTTTTTTTACATGTCGAAAACGCATGCATTTTATAGAGAAATCGTGATTTCCTACGCACGCACACACTGGCGCAGACGAATCTTCTTTCGCGTGAAAGATAAACAAACAATTAAAACACACCGTCACGCTCGGACGCCGGGAAAACGGCGGGAAAATATTACATCACGACTTCCGGAGGATGTCGCACGCCGTCCCAGCGCCATCTACAGGAGAATGAAGCCCGGCATGTCGGAGTGGTTGGCGCATGCGCAGTCGTCGATCTTCTCTTGCTGGATCCACCGGCCGTGACAGCTTGGAACGTTGGTCGCCTTCCATCGGGTGATGACTCCCGCCACGCCCTGTCCCGCACACCTGCCGTACAGAATATACCCGTATGTAAGATTAAGCGCCATATACGTCACGGACTAGACACGATATTAGCCGAAGTTTACCGAGTTTTGCCGACGCAGATATAGCGGGTACATCTCCTCTTTTACAGGCGACTATATATAGCTAATTTTTGTGTGTGCAAAATATAAACCATTTGAATACTGCATGTTACATGAATCGTAATTACATTTAAATTTGAATGAATGTATTCGTTTTGTGCGGTTGATGATATGTATTCATCATGTAATGGTTTGATTGTTGCACTATATGCGTTTCTATACGGCCTATTTTGCCGTTGGGTTTACAGCCAGCGGGCCGTCATTAATACACGTGTAATTAATTAACTACTATACCACCAGCAGAACCGCACCCTGCCGCACATGCAGCGTCATATCGAAGAGAAAGTCATATCAAAATTCATTGCGAACGAATATAGACACATGCTTGTCTGAAAAACTGTCCGAATCAGTCGACTCATGGTCAGGATCAATCATTGTCAAATCAACTCGATGAGAGAGAGAGAGAGAGAGAGAGAGAAAGAAAGA